CCACCACTGCCAACGCAGCAGCAGCAGCAGCATCGTCTGTCCCTCAATGTAAAACAATGAAAGGATTCTAGATTTAAATGAAAGGATTGTGTCTACACATCCCGCCAGTCTCCACGCGGCCTTCTGGGAGTGGCTGCAAGCAGCTTGTCTGTTAGAATGTTCGCAAGTTCGACACGAAACTGTTCTAGACAATGCTGCGCATTTACCAGGTCACTTGCAAGTGAGTTTGTCATGTTCTCTTGATATCTCATCTTGTTAAACAAACACAATTGAACTTTCACCACTCGCCACTGATGTGAGCCGCCGTCGGGAAGGAAACTCAACGTCGCGCACCCATAGCCAGTCGCCGGGCGGTGGTGGCTACGCACGCGGCTGGGTGTGCCCCAGCACTGTCGACGCAGCGAGGGTTGGTGAATCGCACACAGATGTTGTTAAACGCCTTTCTCGTGGGCGACGAGGAGTAGCCATTCCCTGGCTCACAAGGAGAAGGCGGTACAGGCAAAGTGTGGACTCGTATCCACCTGTCCCCTCGCTATGGATGAGTGTCGTCGTCTCGTATGCGTGGGGTGTCTCTGGATACGTGAAGTAGCTGAAAATAGATAGAGGATGGTAGAGCTTGGACAATTGTTGGTAGCGCCGAGAACGAGGGACCACGGTGCGGTCGTAGCGGCGCACTGATGCCAGCTGACATTACTGTTAGTAGAACGTAGGGCGCATCGTTTCACCTTGAGCCTAACAAGCGGAAGATGATGATGTGTAGTTTAACTAATAATGCGTAATTTAAATACTCTTTGGCAATGAGCAAAGCCACTCCACGCCACCATTTACAAGCTCTGCCAGGTTATTGAGCTGAGCCATGGATATTTTTTTTATGAAACATGAAAATCAAGTTGGGCTTGGATTTTTTAACTCTGAGATTCAACAAAGTGTGGTGTGGATGTATTTAGCATCTAAGTGGGACCAGATCTGACAACAGTGGGCACAGTTATTTTATAGAAAAAAGGCAGTTATAGGGCTCTTTGTCAGTCTATGGGTCTCTATCGGATGCTTATGGGTCTCTGTGTGAGTCTGTGTCTATGTGAGAGCATGGGTCTCTGTGGGAGTCAATGTGTGTCTCTCTGAGTCTGTGTCTCTGTGAGTGTATCGGTGTCTGTGAGTCTCTGTGTCTCTGTCGGAGTCTCTGTGTCTCTGTGTGAGTCTGTGTGTCTCTGTGTGAGTCTATGGGAGAGGGAGACTGAGGGGCGGTCAGTCATAGGTAGAACAGAAGGGGGGAAGGTCGAGGCTGGACTTGAAGAGGGGCAGGGAGCCGACAGCACGGACTGCAGGGGGAAGGGAGTTCCAGACAATGAGCCACACGCCACGTGCTCTCTAAATGCAGCTTGCGTGTCACGCGGCTCACCACAACAACAAACTCCGTCCATGACTAGCAGCGTGGACGTCACCACGGCGCTTGTGCCACGCTGGGTGCACGTTGAGGCCACGTGAATTGTCGACGGCCCGCTGGCAGGTCACGGAACAGACCCAGGTGCCATGGGTTGACTGAGATGACTGGCAGAGGCACCAACTCCACCCCCTCATACACACACTACACACAGGCCCTCTCACACATGCTGGATCTGTGCTTCTTAACGCGAACGCTAACCCTATCTCTCTACAGTAGCTCTTATGCTAACTCTATATATAACCTACTTCTATCTCTAACATCAACTGTAACTCTTACCTTAGAGCCGTCTCTTAACAGGCGCTACGTTTAATTCAACCATAACTCCTTGACTCTGCCCCTATCTCGAACCCGATCCCAACCCAAACTCTGCCCCCATCTCGAACCCGATCCCAACCCAAACTCTGCCCCTATCTCGAACCCGATCCCAACCCAAACTCTGCCCCTATCTCGAACCCGATCCCAACCCAAACTCTGCCCCTATCTCGAACCCGATCCCAACCCAAACTCTGCCCCTATCTCGAACCCGATCCCAACCCAAACTCTGCCCCTATCTCGAACCCGACCCCCTCTGCTGTTCTCGAAACTTCCCACTGTGGGGGGGGGGGGGGGGGAGTCAAGAATGGAATTCTAATTAAATCGAACACCCTACATAAATAGGGGGCCGCTATATTAACCCAGAAAAAAACTATGCCAACCCCCCCCCCTCGGGCAGCTGTCAAGATCATCGTCATCACACCCTATGGTAGGTGCACAGCACACACAGCTGTTCACCTCGACCACACAACAACAGCATCACACAGCCGTTCATCTCGACCACACAACAACAACAACACACACAGCCGTTCATCTCGACCACACAACAACAACAACACACAGCCGTTCACCTCGACCACACAACAACAACAGCATCACACACACAGCTGTTCACCTCGACCACACAACAACAACACACACAGCCGTTCACCTCGACCACACAACAACAACACACACAGCCGTTCATCTCGACCACACAACAACAACACACACAGCCGTTAATCTCGACCACACAACAACAACAGCATCACACACACAGCTGTTCACCTCGACCACACAACAACAACACACAGCCGTTCATCTCGACCACACAACAACAACACACACAGCCGTTCATCTCGACCACACAACAACAACACACACAGCCGTTAATCTCGACCACACAACAACAACAGCATCACACACACAGCCGTTCACCTCGACCACACAACAACAACAGCATCACACACACAGCTGTTCACCTCGACCACACAACAACAACACACACAGCCGTTCACCTCGACCACACAACAACAACACACACAGCCGTTCATCTCGACCACACAACAACAACACACACAGCCGTTCATCTCGACCACACAACAACAACAGCATCACACACACAGCTGTTCACCTCGACCACACAACAACAACAACAACACACACAGCCGTTCACCTCAACCACACAACAACAACAGCATCACACACACAGCCGTTCATCTCGACCACACAACAACAGCATCACACACACAGCCGTTCATCTCGACCACACAACAACATCATCACACACACAGCTGTTCATCTCGACCACACAACAACAGCACACACAGCCGTTCACCTCGACCACACAACAGCACACACAGCCGTTCACCTCGACCACACAACAACACACACAGCCGTTCATCTCGACCACACAACAACACACAGCCGTTCATCTCGACTACACAACAACAACACACACAGCCGTTCATCTCGACCAAACAACAACAACAGCATCACACACACAGCTGTTCACCTCGACCACACAACAACACACACAGCCGTTCACCTCGACCACACAACAACACACACAGCCGTTCATCTCGACCACACAACAACAACAACAGCATCACACACACAGCTGTTCACCTCGACCACACAACAACACACACAGCCGTTCACCTCGACCACACAACAACACACACAGCCGTTAATCTCGACCACACAACAACAACAGCATCACACACACAGCTGTTCACCTCGACCACACAACAACAACACACAGCCGTTCATCTCGACCACACAACAACAACACACACAGCCGTTCATCTCGACCACACAACAACAACAGCATCACACACACAGCTGTTCACCTCGACCACACAACAACAACAACAACAACACACACAGCCGTTCATCTCGACCACACAACAACACACACAGCCGTTCATCTCGACCACACAACAACAACAACAGCATCACACACACAGCTGTTCACCTCGACCACACAACAACACACACAGCCGTTCACCTCGACCACACAACAACACACACAGCCGTTAATCTCGACCACACAACAACAACAGCATCACACACACAGCTGTTCACCTCGACCACACAACAACAACACACAGCCGTTCATCTCGACCACACAACAACAACACACACAGCCGTTCATCTCGACCACACAACAACAACAGCATCACACACACAGCTGTTCACCTCGACCACACAACAACAACAACAACACACACAGCCGTTCACCTCAACCACACAACAACAACAGCATCACACACACAGCCGTTCATCTCGACCACACAACAACAGCATCACACACACAGCCGTTCATCTCGACCACACAACAACAACATCATCACACACACAGCTGTTCATCTCGACCACACAACAACAGCACACACAGCCGTTCACCTCGACCACACAACAGCACACACAGCCGTTCACCTCGACCACACAACAACACACACAGCCGTTCATCTCGACCACACAACAACACACAGCCGTTCATCTCGACTACACAACAACAACACACACAGCCGTTCATCTCGACCAAACAACAACAGCATCACACACACAGCTGTTCACCTCGACCACACAACAACACAAACAGCCGTTCACCTCGACCACACAACAACACACAGCCGTTCATCTCGACCACACAACAACACACACAGCCGTTCATCTCGACCACACAACAACAACAACAGCATCACACACACACAGCTGTTCACCTCGACCACACAACAACACACACAGCCGTTCACCTCGACCACACAACAACACACACAGCTGTTCATCTCGACCACACAACAACACACAGCTCTTCACCTCGACCACACAACAACACACACAGCTGTTCACCTCGACCACACAACAACAACATTCACTCTTGTCATCGTTATTATTCATCCCTCGTCTCGCCGTGTGGGTCACGTGGGTTGTGTGACCATACTTCCCCACGCTGCTCAGTGCAAGGATGTTAGGGTCGGTTCACGGTGACACTCGCCACGGAATTCACCCGCCCGGTCGCGCACGGGTGTGGGGGGCGCACGGGATTGGGGGGCGTCCAGGCCCCCCAAACCTGGGTGTGACCGGGCTCCCCACCCCCGGGCCCCCCACACCCGGGTGTGACCGGGCCCCCCACCCCCGGGCCCCCCACACCTGGGTGTGACCGGGCCCCCACGTCCCTGGCTCCCTCGTCACATCCGTCGCTAAAGGTTGCAGGAAGTTGCGCGCTCGCGGAGCTCTCGAGAGGCGGATACGAAAGGCGGCGCGACTCGCACGGAAGGAGTCACGAGGCGCTGACACCAGCGCCGCCGCCGCCTCCTCGTCCTCCTCGTCCGCAATGTTGCCGTTGCTGCTGCTGCTGTGGTCGCGTTAGTCGCCGAGACGCCGTGTGGACGAGGGGAGACAGCGGGCGGTGCTGGCGGCAGTGCCGCCCGCCTGTCCGCCTCGTGAGCACGCGGGTTCATTGCCCAGAGGGCAGCGAGCGGCGGTCAGCAGCTGTTGGTCAGTCCCGGCACGAGTTGACGCCGAGTCGTCCGCAGTCGCAAGCCGCGGCCGGAGCAAAGTTTGAACACTCGGACTCGGAGCTCCTTTCACATCACCACCACCACCACCACCATCCCCCACCTCCTCCATCACCCTCCTCCTCCACAACCTGCTCGCTCGCTCGCTTCCTCCTCCTCCGCCATCGCTCGGGGAAGCAATGGCAGGGCGCCTCGCCTCCGGCAAGACGCGGGGTGACGAGGAGGTGGACGAGGACGAGGACGAAGGCGGCGGCGACGACGAGGAGGAGAGGAGAGGAAGGCTGCGTCGCTGCGTCATCTCCACCATCGCCCGCGAGGCCGGCGTGTGGAGGACCACGGCGGGGGGAGAGCTCACGGCACCCGGTGATGAGCGTGATGATGATGATGGTGGTGGTGGTAACGATGTTGATGATGTTGATGATGTGAGCTCTGGCCGCGATCACTCCGCCACAGCCGAAGTGAAACTGCGCCGCGGTAACGTGGCGGCCGCGGCGCGGCTCCGCGAGGAAGTGGCCAACTCCTGTGCGCCCGTACGCGGCGATGTGGCGAGCCGCGATGATGTGGAGAGCCGCGTTGAGCCGCACGCAGCCGCCCACCTCTCCGCGCTCAGCCTGGAGACCGGCTACGACTCCGCGAGCTCCATGGGCGACCTGCAGCACCTCGGGGAGTCTCCTGGCGAGATGAAGGACGCAGCGGGGAGACGGAACGAGCCGGGAGAAGTCATCGCCTCAGCCGGCCACGGGCACGAGGTGGAGCCGGTGGACAGCGACAGCGACGACGGTGGTGGCGGTGATGATGGTGGTGGTGATGGTGGTGGAGAGTGCGGCTGGTCTGCGCGCGGCTGGGAGAGCGCCCCGCGCCACCTCCCCGAGCCGCTGGTGTTCGCGCCGTGCCGCGTGTGCCTCCTGCCCGCCGTGTGCGACCCCTTGGGCTGCTGCGCGGAGCCCGTGTGCGGGGAGTGCATGCGCGCCTACTGCTCCACGCAGGTGCGTGATGGCCTCTCCCTCCTCGTCACCTCATGTGGCGAGATGTTGACTACCTCGCCTGGTATACAGGAGCCCGTGTGCGGGGAGTGCATGCGCGCCTACTGCTCCACGCAGGTGCGTGATGGCCTCTCCCTCCTCGTCACCTCATGTGGCGAGATGTTGACTACCTCGCCTGGTATACAGGAGCCCGTGTGCGGGGAGTGCATGCGCGCCTACTGCTCCACGCAGGTGCGTGATGGACTCTCCTCGCTTCGACTCCGATGAGTAGCCACGAGGGAGACAAAGGCGGCCCGGCGTGGTGCTGGCCACTCGCCGCCTCGTCACCTCATGTGTCGTGCCGGCCTTCATCGGTGCCACTGTGGCGAGATGTTGACTACCTCGCCTGGTATACAGGAGCCCGCGGGAGTTTGCGTGTCTCTCTCCCCGTGGTCGCGTGGATTTTTCTACCGTTTCCTCCGGGTTTAGCCTCCACATTTAGAAACGTGCATCAGAGGTATAATCCACTTCTTTGAGGTATTTGTGGCCAGGTCGCTTCTGAAAAAGCACTTTATAGCTTAGAGGGCCTTACCTGGTAAATTAAAAAGTTTGAGTGTTTTTAGTTTATAGTTTATGTGCTACTCGCAAACAGCATTGCCTCAACTCTCTGCAAGGAAACGTGGGCTCTCGATCTGTTCCTGTAAACGCGTGTGTGGGTATGCCAACAAGGGCTTGCCAGGTGTTGTAGGTTCGTAAGTAGAAAGTGTGGTGACGAGATCCGCGGGTTTTCCCCCCGTTGAGCAGCACCCTCCTGGCGAGTCCTGAGACTCTGCGAGCCTGAGCCATAACCAAGGTAATAACGACCGTGACCTCAACACAAACAGCACACAGACCCCCCCCCCGCCCATGCTGACTTGAGACATACTATGGCTGGTGGGGGTGGCTTTCATAATCACCATCAGCCGTGTTCTATCCACCGCTGGATGAACGATTTCCCCCTCGCCACCACAAGTTGTCTCGCCATCTCTCATGGTCTACGCGATGTGGCGATCCGTCCAGCTCCTGCACGCGAGCTGATTCTGATTCCAGTGTTCCTTCTCGGCGGGAGACGCCCTCTTCACCGTGTGCCCGCTCATGGCCTCCTTCGGCTGCGTGCCTGTCGATAGACTCGACCATCGGGCATGATGGTGATTGATGACGACGATGACGACGATGGGCCCTGCCTAGGCGGGCCCACTTGCTGTTTGTGAATGCCGACACGGAGAGGGTCAAGAGCGGTGGTGGTTGTGATGGGGGAGCAGGTAATACAGGTGAGGCAGGTGGGACACGTGACTTGCATGAACAGAATGGGGGGGGGGCTTGACTCAGTCACGCACCCCAGGGCACTTATCCGACAGCGTGCATTTCCTTAGAACTGCTTTCTTTTTGTGTTTAGTTTGTTGTCCTTACCCAGCACCTCCGATTAACACGGTTGACTACGTACATACAGAACATACATGAGCCTCACTGACTTGAGTGTCGTTCTCTGTGGAGTTTAACCCTCTCTCCCAATGTTTTGCATGGGGAGAGAGGGTTTCTCCTGGGTTCGCCGGTTTCCCCCCACAGCTAAACACACCAACACACAGTGGAATTGGTTTTGGCCCAACATCCTTATTCTGGAAAAGAACCTGTGAACTATTCCATTGGGATGACCCACAGCAGCAGTCACATCGCCCCCGCGCCTGCCAAGATTTGGCAGAAACCTCTTTGAGAAGAGCGGAGACTCGGCGAGCTTGTCCGGGTAAACATGCGTTATTCTCATAACCATTTGGTTCAAAACTGTTCCCAGTTTTTCACACGTACAAACCTGTGTTGTGTTTTCTCAGCAGCAGTGAGGCTGATGTTGCTGCCGTGTATATATCTCTGCCGTGCGTATATCTCTGCTGAGTAAGTTTGAAGCGTGGATGTTTCTGCCTTGGCATGTTTGGCCACTAACCAGATGATCGCCCCGTGTGTGCCAACGGAGTGATCTTCTGGTGCGGGTTCGTGGGGGTCCCGAGTGGGCGGACAGCGCAGAAGCAGTAGCCGCAGCGATCGCTTAACAAAACCAACGTCACAACACGATCACCAGCACCGTCGCTGCGGAGAATATAAATAACAAAATAAACAGGCAGATGATACGCCTCCTCCCTATATCCATCCCTCCATGGAAAACAAATTAAAAGATTGTTTTTACACATCACGTCAGTCACGTGGCCTCCCTTCTGGGAGTTAGTACTTTTAGCGGCGCTGATTCAACACAAGCAATACGCCGGAGCGATTGTTGACATTCGGGGGCTCATCCGGAAGGTGGTCTTTATTCCAGCGAGGGCTGCGTTGGCCGGGTCTGTACGGTGCGGCGAATGTCTCAGTGCTGGCGAGAGTGGTTCACATGGAGAGAGAGCCCCGTCGGCAGCGCCGTGTGCCAACAAGTGGAATTCCTGCCCCCCCGGTGAGAATGGAAACGTCGCTCCGGGTGGTGGCCCGGACTTCGATACAATCCCGAGAGCGTCTCCATCCCGGAGCATTGCCACCACAGCGGGCAGCTCACAGGGGGCAGCTCACAGGGAGGAGTCTCACTGCTGCCCTTAGCCCCAGTGGCGGAGCCAGGATTTTCAGGTAGGGGGGCACCCCCTCCAGCAATGAAAAACGATAGAGGAGTTGTTCGTAAGTAAGAAGTTGTTAGTGAGTAAGGAGTTGTTAGTGAGTAAGGACTTGTCCCTTGCTTTTTATTCGACGCATGTGCGGCGATGGCGCAGCCATCGATCGAGGGTCGAATCCGAACCGCGTTGTGTGATCGGCATCGCACTCAATGGAGGCGTTGATGCCTTCAGGGAAGTCGTGTGCTGTATACACAACTGCGCACAATTATGTGAGTCACTTATAACTGCTTTGCCGTTACTTATTGCCAATTATGGACTCAGAATATTGTCCTATTATCTCATAGGGTCCCTGGCATATAATCATATGCTATACAGTGGCAGTGGGGGTCGCCAAATGCTGATTTATCTCCATATATATCTCCATGTATATAAAAGGCAAAGTTGTGAATGTGTGTCTGTTCAAAATGTTTAGCGTACTTCCCGACATGCAACAAACTGTAAATTTGCCATGCGGGTACTTTCCAGACTGTACACCATGCACAAATTATAAAATACACTTTTGAGGGGGGGGGGGGGGGGAGCTGAATAATGCATTTATTTTTTGCACGGCAAGTGAGCTGTGACGTCAAATCTGTCACGTGACCCGCGCATGTGGAAGCGTAACGCATTGTAGTGTAGCTGCGAACCCGGCGACTCGAGTTCGATTCCCGCTCACGGCCACCGCCGGTGACGATTATTTGAACCGGTCCTGGGCCTCCCCTAGGTCGACTCAACCTCAAACAATTAACTGGTCTGGTGTGTGAACATCGCCACTGGGGAGACAAAGGCGGCCGGGCGTGGTGCTGGCCACCCACCCCCTCGTTATGAATATATGAAAGCACAAAATTACGTATTTCACAGTGGTCACAAAAATAAGCACAGTATGAATACTGTACACGTGTTTTATAATCGCGGAAATCACCAAGAACACTGTAGTATTATACTGTTATCGCAAAAATAACTATGAATTGTTTACAATATACTCACAGAAATAAGAACAGTATTAGTAGTATATGAATAAACATTTAAGAGATGCGCACTCAACTTCTATTTAAAGACTGAAGACAAAAATGGCGCATGGCGACACAGCTAATTCGTTGTCACTAGATACTAATAAACCCCAATGATCCGATCTAAATTAGGGATTTGATCGGATTATTGGGGGGCACGTGCCCCCCCCCCCCACTGGCTCCGCCAGTGCTTGGCCCTCGCCCTCAAAGTATTGACTGGACTCTGATTACGATCTCCCGTTCCAAAGATATTAGGGCGATGGTGAAGATACACAGGTGTCTGAGACGGATGCTAGGAATGCCCTGCCGAGACGTGGTATGTGCAGCAGACGTCCGGTATAGACCAAGCGTTTAGCCCTCTCATCTAGCTCATGTCGGTCCCCGTGTCACTTCTTCCACATGTATGAAGACGCTCGTTCGAGAGTTGTGGAGCGTCAATCCACGCGTGTTCGCCAGTTTCCCTAACCTTGTGAAAAAAAGTCGCGTATGAAACGGTCGCCCAACCGGTTGTGCCTGTCCCTGTTTGACTGCCGCCTGTGTTATTTAAACCCAACCCACTAGGCCCTGACCCCCGTGTCACTCCCCGTAGACCCCCACGCGACTTAGGAACATGCGGGCACAGCGTCATGAGATGAGGCCCAGCTGAGAAGGTTTTATTTATTACATTATTGGCAACCGCAACAAAAAGCAAACGATTCGTTCCGGTTTTTACCACACATCTCATGTCTAGCAACAAACACGGCGTGTTTGGATTATTCACTGAGACGGAGACAGCTACCACGGCGGGGTAGATTTGGTGTCACACTGTGACATGTAATCCAGAGGTCGCCGGTTTAATTCCATCTCCTGGTGCGGCAGTTGGAACTACAGAGGAAGTTTCTTACCCCCCCCCCTTCCGGCACTTCTGTCCACCCAGTGGTGTACACCGCAATGCATAGAGGATTGCACACACACGAAGAGCAAAAGTGCAGTGGTTCGCGCACTGCTATGAACCCGGCGACTCGAGTTGGTTTCCTGCTCATGACCAACATCAGCGACAATTGTTTAAACCGGCCGTCGTCTCCTTTGCATCAGCTATGTTGACTCGACCTTCAACGAGTACCTGGTGTTTGGCGTGTGTAAACATCACCACCGGGGAGACACGGGCTGGCGGCCGTGTGTGGCGTGAACCACACCACCACCTTTGTGTGCCATGTCAACCTTCGCAGGTGCTACTCGCCAACAGCATGTTCCCGACAGTTTGTTAAAGGCCCCACGGGGGATCTGTGTGCGGGCGCAGGTGCAGCTGGGCCGCGCGCGCGTGCGCTGCCCGACCCCCGAGTGCCCCGGCGCGCTGAGCGAGCGCGTGGTGCTCACGCACCTGGGCGCCGAGCAGGCCGCGCGCTTCTGCTACCTGCTTGCGCTGAGCCGCGCCGGCTCGCGCACGAGGCCCTGCCCGGGCTGCGGCCACCTCCTCACGCCGGGGGGAGGGGGCCCGGCCACCGCCGCCCGCGCCGGCGACGGGACCTCCTCCGACGGGGGCGACGCGGTGGAGGGGGGCTCCCTGCCGGCCCCCCACGGCAAGTTGGCCAAGCGCGGCAGCAGGAAGCGCAAGGACCGGCCCCCCGGCAAGGCGAGTCTCTTCTTGTTTAACTTTACTACCGCACACCCGGGAGAAAGCCGCACCGAGTCTGAAGGCTCATTCTCAGGGTCCTGCCACGTTGGGATGTTTGGCTAGCAATGTTGACATTGTCTGTGTGTGAGTTTAGCTACGGGAGGGAACCGGAGTACACGGAGGGAAACCCCATGCCAATTTCCCAACGGATTCTTCATCTCGTTGCATGACACAGATAGCATCATCGTGGTCGTCGTCATCAGCATGGGTCATAATCCATCCACTGCTGGATGAAGGCCTCCCCCAGGCCGACACCATCTATTACGATCTATTATGATCAACAATCCATCCAAGCAGCTGCACACAAGCTAATTTCACGGCTCCATCTCCACGATGGACTGTTCCATCTCCCCGCTCCTTCAGCTGCCGCTCCATGGTTAGTCTCGACCACCGCTGGCCATCGTCACCTTCGTTTCTGTTGGTGGGTAGCATTCACGGAAAAGGAGCAAAAAGTATTTTTGTATAAAACTCGTTTTGTGTCGTGCGTCGTGGCTCTCTCTCGACGCTGCCCGCCCCCACTCCCTCGCCGGCACAGGTGCAGTGCCCCAAGTGCCACGTGCTGTGGTGCTTCGCGTGCCACGCACCCTGGCACGAGGGTGTCAGCTGCAAGGATTACCGCGGAGGGGACAAGCTGCTGCAGCGCTGGGCTGGGCAAGTGAACGTGCAGGGGCAGCGCAACGCGCAGAAGTGCCCTCGCTGCAAGGTGCCCGCCGCCCAGCAGCGGGCCCCGCCACCACAAACGCCACCACTGCCACAACCACCACAACCACCACCACCACTGCTATCACCACCAACGCCACCATGAATGCTACATCCACCACCTCCACCAGAACCACTGCCACAATTACCGCCACTAGCGCCACCACCATCACCACTACCACCATCACCACTGCCACCACAAACGCCCCTGCCAGAGACATCACTGCCACCACAGCCACCTCCAGTACCGCCTTTTGTGCCAACATCTCTTTGCTCGTCTCTGCTCCGGTTTCTATTCGTTCGTGCTTCATCCTTGCCTCTCTGTGTCTCTCTCTGTCTCTCTCTCTGTGTCTCTCTGTGTCTCTCTCTCTCTCTGTGTCTCTCTCTGTCTCTCTCTCTCTGTGTCTCTCTCTGTCTCTCTCTGTGTCTCTCTCTGTCTCTCTGTCTTTCTCTGTGCGGGGCAAGTTGCCTCTAGGTTCACATCCAGAAGACGGAAGGCTGCAACCACATGATCTGCTCGCAGTGTGAGACCAACTTCTGCTACCGCTGCGGCGAGCGCTACCGGGAGCTGCGCTTCTTTGGAGACCACAACACCAAGCACAGCGTCTTCGGCTGCCGCTTCATCTACTACCCCGAGCGGCCCAACCTGCGGCGCCTCGTCCGCGGCGCGCTCTGTGGTGGGGCCCATCTCAACCAGCGTCATGTGTAGTTGCCTGCAGTGTCATCGATGTCAGCATTGTTGATATTATCTTTCTCATCAACGTCGTCACCTTCATCTTCATCATTGTCATGATCGTTATTATCACCATCATCATAATCAGCAATAGCCACATAAGTGTGAGTGATTCAATTTTCACTCATTACATTTACCCTCATTTGCTCATTAATTCAACCTCATTTATCCGCTCATTTCCACATCATTTACCCATTCACTCATTCTCACTCACTGATTCACTCATTCTCACTCACTGATTCACTCATTCATTCACTCATTCTTACTGATTCGCACATTCATTTACACATTCTCACTCAGTCTCATTCATTCTTGCTTACCGATTCACTCGCTCTTTCTCGCTCATTGATTCACTTATTCACTCACGGATTCACTCATTCCCGCTCATCCGTTCGCCGTGTCTGTGCGTCTCGCTGCCTCATCCCAGGTGCCAAACTCTGTGCCACCCCCCTGCTGCTGGTCGCCATTGTCATATTCGGAATCCTCGCGCTGCTCGTCGGTGAGTGGCACAGACGACGAGGGCCCAACGCAATGATGTAACCATGACGACGAGGGCCCATTGTAACGATGTAACCATGACGACGAGGGCCCAACGCAACGATGTGACCATGATGACGAGGGTCCTTTGTAACAATGTAACCATGACGACGAGGGCCCAATGCAACGATGTAGCCATGACGACGAGGGCCCATTGTAACGATGTAACCATGACGACGAGGGCCCAACGCAACGATGTGACCATGATGACGAGGGTCCTTTGTAACAATGTAACCATGACGACGAGGGCCCAATGCAACGATGTAGCCATGACGACGAGGGCCCATTGTAACGATGTAACCATGACGACGAGGGCCCAACGCAACGATGTGACCATGACGACGAGGGCCCATTGTAACGATGTGACCATGACGACGAGGGCCCATTGTAACTATGTAACCATGACGACGAGGGCCCATTGTAGCCATGTAACTATGACGACGAGGGCCTACCGCAACGATGTAACCATGACGACGAGGGCCCATTGTAACTATAACCATGACGACGAGGGACCACCGCAATGATGTAACCATGACGACGAGGGCCCATTGTAACTATAACCATGACGACGAGGGCCTACCGCAACAACGTAACCATGATGACGAGGGCCCATTGTAACTATAACCATGACGACGAGGGCCCACCGCAATGATGTAACCATGACGACGAGGGCCCACCGCAACGATGTAACCATGACGATAAGGACCCACTGCAACGATGTAACCATGACGATGAGGGCCCATCGTAACGATGTGACCATGTGACGAGGCCCCATCGTGACGATGTTTTTACATGGGGGGGGTGCCCTAAATTCAGGGACTGCCACCACCCTGCCCCCACTTCCCTATCCGTGTATGTCCGTGTGTGTGTCTTTTGTTTGTGTGTCGTTGTGTGTGTCTTCTTGTGTGTGTGTCTTTTGTTTGTGTGTCGTTGTGTGTGTCCGTGCCCTTGTGTGTCCGCGTGTGTGTCCGCGTGTGTCGATGCGCGTCCGCGTGCTGTGTGGCGCCATGTGTGCTGTGTGGGTTCTCGCTGTCTGACAGACATCACTCATTCCCACTCCCCCCTCGCTCTCTCTGTCTTCGTCTCTCCCACCCCCCTTTTACATTCCTCTCTTTCCCTCCTTTTCCATCCCTCTCTCCCCTCCCTCTCCCTCGTGCAGGGATCTTCGCGGGTCCTATCTACCTGCTCTGCAAGTCTCGGCGCCAAACGCCCGTGGAGATGTACGTGTGACATCTGCAGGCCCGATTGCGGCACCACCGCTCCTCTTACCCCCCTTCACGCTCAGTCCTGCACCGCTGCACCATCACATCCAAGGATCGGTATACTGGATGTGGTGTGTCGGGGGCAGAAACAATTTCCGAGTCGCTGGTAGACTCGGGGTAGATGGTAGGTGACTTAGTAAAAGCCGCAGCGAATAGCAAGAGGTCTGATAGATGTGATGTGCCGAGTACAGACATGTTTTGTGGATTGGACTCAGCTAAAATTGAGCCTCATCATCATCACTCTCATCATCTTCACCCAGGATCATCATTACCATCATCACTGTGATCATCATCATCCAATCATCATCAACACCATCATCATTTCCATTCCTATCGTCTCACATATCATCACTATCATCTATACCCATCATCATACCGACTCATCGATATCACGAGCAGCATCACTCTATGATGCTGTATCAACAGCGCTGGTGGTATTAATGAACTGCCCTCATCATGGAAATGTGGAATTTCCACCACTGGCTCGTGGACCCGAGTGGAGATGAGGGTAGAGGGTCGCTTTGACCGTGTGCACACTACTAAAGGGCAGCAGACGGCAGCGCATTAATGAATTCTTGAATCTATCTGTGCGGAGCCTCGTGAGCCAACCGTACGCCCGGCGCTGAGTGTTCTCCGGGGTTCTTCCACGCCAAACTCTCACCACTCAAGGGATCACGGCCAAACCTCCCCACGTAGCAGCACCCTCCTGAACAACAAGCCCTGAGACTCGGTGAAGCTCCAGGTAAGTAGCTAAACAAACCGCACCGGTTGCAGCGTTATCATTAACATCGGTTAAGTGTTTTGATCACTCTGTGAGGGTGGGTGGTGGCCATTGTGGGGGGCTCAGGAAGATGCCCTTGACACCGGAAGAAGAAGCCTCTTCCTGTGGAGCCCAGGAGCAGCCACGCGGGCAGCGAGCAGCAAAAGGGCCTTGGAAACAGAAACACTTTAAAGGGCTCTCTGATATCACCGCCACCGCCGCTACCACCACCATCATCCTTGATCAGTCCCCTGCTTCTGCTGCTGCTACTGCCAGATGAAGGACTCCTTCCCAAAACACCGCCGCCACCGCCTCTCGCGTTGACGACCCTGCGGTGAAAGAGCCTCGACTCTTCCCCCGCCAACCGCTCCGCCGTCACGATTCGCGACCACCCGTCGCGCCGAGGTCGCGGTGCCGCCGCTATCAGTGAGCGTGCGAAGGCGCGGTATCCAGGAGGAGAGCCATGCCATGGGAGCGGGCTGCTGCTGCTGCCAGCCGACCGCCGTACTTGCCTCGAGCCCTGCCAACAGGAGCTCAATTCTCCTCTTGCACTTGACTTTGGAGTCAACACTGGTACAGATGAGAAGTCCGCAGCACTGGAGAGTTTCTTTTGAACTTCGGGCCTCGATGACAGCTCTTGTATTGTTTTTTTATTATTATTGTTACTGGAAGAGGAGGTGGTGGTAGTGATGGGTGGGACACGTGGTTGGTTGTTTGCAAGGTGGCGTAAGTGGGGCAGATCACCAAGAGGAGCATTGCAGTGTAACCCAGAGTTCAGTGACTAAGGGGAAGAGAAGACATAAGACCCGTCGACGATGATGACAATGATGATGCCGTGGGATCTGGCGGAAGGAAAGGAGCAATGGCGAGGGTGTGCTTGATAATCACTGTCGTCACCGTGACGAACGCGACTGTGCCTTGACCCCTGTGTTTGACCCGCAACGCTGCTCGGGATTGGGTGGCCGTGGTTCTAACGTGGGGGTGTAACGATTCATCGTCGTGGTGATATCCAGTAGGGGCGGGTCAACGAGTTACAACAACAAACAATGCAAAACAACAACGATAGGTGTGAAAAATAGAGAAAAGCTAAACAAATCACGATAAATGAAAAGAAAGTTTCTTAACTTGGCAGACCATCATTCACCTCCATCCACCATCTGTCCCCACACGTCCCATCGGCCACAGCGGCCTCGTGAGTCACACGAGTGAACGATCAGCGTCTCATTAGCAGGGACCAGGCTTTGCCAGCAAACAGTCGCTCAAACAGAAATTGGATCAGTCATGCTAAGGCGGCTACGGTTTAATAATTGTTTAGTTCAGTTTTTGGTTTGTCCAATTACCATTTACACAAATCATCAACATTATAATTCCAACACCCACGACGTCTATCTAACTGCGTGTGTGCGAAGGAATTGATCGTGCATGATTGACGCATGTACCAGCAAAGTGTGGACTAATCTCCACCTGTTCCATCGGTATGAGATCGTATGTCCCCCTCGCTCGCACGTGTGGGTTTTCTGAGGTTGCTCCGTTATCATCTCACGTGTATGAATTTGTATTGGCCAATTCTACCTTCATATATAGAGGACCGCAGAGCTTGGGCAGTTGTTGGTATCGCCGGCTCGTCACCACCGTGTGGCTGCTGCTGCTGCTGCTGCCTCCACACTCCTCGCCCGTGGTTCATCCTGGTGCCTCTGAGCCGTCCCCTCTCCTGTGTGGCGGTGGCAATGCGGCGTCACAGGGTGACATCGTTACTCTCCAGTGCTGCATGTGATGAAAGCGTGGCGAGCTGTAAGAATCGATTTTCACTGCGATTAACCAATACTTATTGTGGCTGTGGATGGTGGGGTTGGGAGCAGGGAGGGTGGGGGGAGGTGGTTGGAGCAGGGTTGGTGGGGGGAATTTGCATTTGGAGAGCAGGGATGATGAATCGCAAACCGGAATATTTCTCTGGGTTGCTGACTTAGAAGCCATAGCAAAAAGCGAGAGGCATACTGGATGCAGTGTGCCGGGTCCTCGAATATTATCCTCGGTCGCTGGTGGACTGGAACAGGTGGCACGTGACTGTTAGAAGCCTCAGCCCGTAGCAAGAGGAATGTTGAATGTGGTGTGCCGTGCTCTACACTGACCCAACCTGGCGAGACGTCTTGGGCTGCAGTGTTCTCACAGCCAGGCCTCGCGACTCCGCGGGTCGCCTGTCCACGTTGACCAAACCTCTCCTCTCCAATGGACAGTTCAGTGGCTGCACGCTACACGTGCCTGATGATTGAGAAGCAAACCCCCACGCGGCCTACAGAGAGTGTGCATTCAAGTACCGTAGAAGCGCCCTCTACGGCCCATGGGACGACAGTGTCGTTGCAAGTGCAGTTAGCGAGCACCTATTAAGGCCGTAATGACACTCGAGGGGATGGTGTGGTGAGCACCACGCTCGCATCCCTTTGTCTCCCTGGTGCTGGTGTTTACATGTGTTCACACATCGCCATCGGGCAATTGTTTAAGGCCGAGTCGACCTAGGGGAGGCCCTAATGCGGTCAATATATCACTCGCCACTGATCTTATCTATGGCCACCTCACGGGCTCGTATCGTAGTGCGCTAACCGCCGTGCCACCGCTCCTCGTGTCACGCTGGACTCACATGGGTGGGATACATCTTGATGGGAATGTGAGCTATTGGAGTTCACCAACCATCTGGTGTGGGCAGCGTGTAACGATCTTGTAGAATATGTAACTGGACAAGAAGTTCGTAAACATTGGGGGGATGGGAAGGGGGTTGTGAGAGTGGTGGGGAGGGCTGACGTTTAAGAGACAGCTTAAGCAAGCAAACCTCAGCGGCTCGGTTTTATATCGCGTTGGTTATAAGTGCATTATTATTATTGATGATTATAATTATTTGAGATGTGTGAATAGCACCGATCTGTGCCTTTGTCATCCAGCTAATAGCACGTGCGGCAAGGCGCAGCGGGCAGTGGGCAGCACTGCCCTCGTGGCTGGGCAAATCTCCCCTCGTGCCGCGCAGCTTACCCCGTCTGGAAAGCCAAGCAGGGCTTGCCAGGTGTTGTAGACGCGGAGCTGATGAGTGGTACCCCCTCGTACAAGCAGCGTGGGTTGTCTCCGGCTTCTGCGGTTGCCGCCCGCGGGAGGCCAAACTCTCACCAATGGAATTCGTGGCCAAGCATCCCAATTTTAGCAGCACCCTCTTGAAAGCGAGTCTGAGGTTTTTCTGGATAAATAATTGACACTTATTATAATGCGCGCTCACACACGCACACCTGGCTAGCTTTAGTAGGCAAGGCTTGAGGAGGCCGCGTAGGGATACGGCGCTTTCTTTCCAAAACGTTATATCCGGACTCGCGGTTCTACGCTGTGGCAAGGTCTCATCTCAGCTCGAACACCCGCCTCTCGCCCTGGCTGGAGACTTGCCAAAGCTCTACGCCGAACCTGGCCTCTCACACCCGGCTCGAGCCCAGCCCCCGCACCTGAACTCGCCCTATCCGTAACCATAGCTGTAACCAGTCTTAAAATTAACGCTCACCCAACATCTCTATCCCTGACCATGTAGCCATAGTCCTCCCCGTAGCCCTGCATCTCACTGTGGCTCTCATCGTAACCTGCTGTCCGGGTCTGTGTCCCTACTAGGGCTGGGACAATGTCTTAAAAGCCGAACGGGTGATCCCGCGCTCTTGGCCGCCTGGGTTTCTGAGGTGCCCTGCACCTCATAGCAGGATTGCCCTGTCGTTTTCTCACATTCGTTTTCTGCATTTTCTTTTCTTATGAAGTGATCCAGCCTCTAAATGGTTGATGTTAGCCCCCCACAAAGACCACGCGTCACTGCCGCGTCTTTGGAACTGCAGACGCTGGCCGGACCGTTCTGTAATGTTCCAAGTAATTATTTATTTAACCAAGAAAGCCACACTGAATCTGGACTACTTTTTTCAAGAGAATCCTACATTGGACAGGTTTGGCCAATACCGGTTACTTTGCCATTTTAGCGATTCGCGGAAGCAGAATAACACGGAGGAAACCGATGCGTAACAGGGGGGGAGAACATGCAAACTCCGTACAGCTCGGCGCCCGAGTCGAGAGTCGAACCCAGGGGCTTCTTGTCGTGAGGCTCACGCGTTGTGCGCACAGCGCCGCCGCCGCTTCCCTCCCGTGTGGGCGTCTCCGTCGTGGAACACGAAGCGAGCCACGCGGGAGGGGGGGGGGGGTGAGCCGAGAGCCCCGACGCGTGGAGCCGCCTGGGGTCGATGCCAGAGCCGGGCGAGGGGACACTGGCTGCCTCTGCTGCCATTCTTCGGTGTCTGTATGCGGGTTGCCTGCTATGTTATTATTCGTATCTGTGTTGTTTTTTAGACTAAGTTTTGCACTAGAAATCGCAAGGGCTGTATGTGTATATTAATAAGCACCGCCAAGCATTTTTTGCACTGAATTAAAGATCGGACTGGGGTGTATAGTACGTATGTGTGTGTCTGTGTGTGATTATTTGTAGAAGTTAGCGCTACGCTACGAACCTGATCACTTGACTTCCATTCCCACTCACGGCCAACACCAGTGACGATTATTTGAACCGGTCCTGGGCCTCCCCTAGGTCAACTCAGTCTCAAATGAGTAGCTGGTTGCCTGTGTAAACATCGGTATTGGGAAGACAAGGGTGGCCGGGCGTGGTGATGGCCATTCCACCGGCTCGTGCAAGCCTAAATAATGTGTGCTCGCTAACCATACCTGCCCCTGCAGTCTGTGGGAGGCTGCGCGGGGCATCTCTGTCGCTGTATATACGGCATGCGTGTACGTGTATGTGCGTATGTCTGTCTATGTATGCGAACGTAACGCATCTTGGCCATCGATTGCATCCGTGAGCTCGAGGTTGTGGGTGATTCAATCTTTTGTTTTGCTGTCGGTAACAGTCACGGCGCGGACTGAGTGACCCTCTCAGCCTCAGGGTACAAACTTCAATGCAAGACAATGATTAACACTGGATGCCGAGGCTAACTTGAAACACTAAAGAGCCGTGCTCATAGTCACGGCTCGGCTCAGACTCGAGACCCTCAACTGCTTCCAAAGATCGCTTGAGCGAGCGGCTCAGCCGTGGCTGGTCCCAGGCTCACGGAAATCCTCAGCGCGGCTGGGGCCGTTGCTCAGAGCCAGTTCAAGTTAAGCGCATGGCTCATTTGAGCCAGAGCCGGTCTTGATACGAGCCGTAACCAAGTCTACGATGCTAAGTAAGGGCATCCCTGGCCATACGCGCAGGGTCCGATTGAAACCTCTGCTCCCAGGATACCTGCAGAGCACAACTCAACTCCACCCTCTGGCCAGCAAGCTCCGGACGCTCGTGCAACCGCGATTGTTCACACCGCCGTCTCGTGCTGCCGTCGCGCCGGGATAGCGAGGATGCGTGTGACGAGCGAGGCTCAATCGAGCCGAGATGCGGAATGACCTTCAGTCGTCGCGCGGGGACTCCGTGCCACGAAGCCGCTGCCCGTGGTGCGCCCCAGTGGAGGAAAGTGTCGCCACGGTTGCGTCGTGAAGGTGAAATATTTAAATAAATAAACCGCCAAAAATATGCGGCCCTGACCCCCGATCTGGTGTCCGTTCTAGTGATTTTTTGCGGTGTCGGTTGTGTCGGGTGGTGGCGGCGGTGGTTGCACTGCACGTGGCTGCATGTGATCCAGCACTCGAGGCAGCAGCGACGGTTGGTGGCTCACACAGACATGTTGTGAAACTCCCCAAGAGAAGGCGCAGCGGCAAGTGTGGACTAATCTCCACGTGACCCTCTTGCATGGGTCAGAGTGTTGCGCCCTCGCACGCGTGAGTGTTCTACGCGTGCTCCGGTATCCTCCACATTGTACGACACACCCTCATAATTACATTGGCTGATGACGTCTTACAATAACAATCTGCTGTTCTCTTCGTGCGCCTGATGCATTGCGCGTCCACGTGGCTGCAGGCCCCTTGTGTGCAGACGGTCACATGGTCTCGTGCCACCACGCGACCAAAGCTGCATCCCCAATCACCCGCCCCCCACGGCCCACACGCAAACAAGACCGTATTATAAGACGCACTTCCCCTGCCACTCCCCGACTCTTTCCCCCGTTTATTCTAAAACTAAGTTCGGGGGTGCTTATAATCCGGTGTGTTGACACCTGGCACAGGTGTGTTTTGCCTGCGTCTTACTTTCCGCGGCGTCTTAAAATCCGGTGTGTTTGTGTTGACACCTGGCACAGGTGTGTTTTGCCTGCGTCTTACTTTCCGCAGCGTCTTATAATCCCGAAAAGAGCCCCGGGGTGTAACGGTAACCTTTTCCGTCGCCCCGAGCGCATTTTTGGAAATGCCTCCTGCACTGTATCCGTGCCGCAGCCTGCGACCCACTGCGTGAAGGGAAGAGGGGAGGCCACACCTCGTCTGGGCAGCTGACGTCAGCCCCTCGGGCGCTCCACTCGCACAAACACAACAAAGACAAAGGTGCCCCGTGTAGCCGACACGGGCTGTTGGGGCAGGGGATGTTAGCGGGCACCTATTCAGGCCGCCATGGCACACGAGGGGGTGGGTGACCAACACCACCCAGGCCGCCTTTGTCTCCCCAGTGGCGATGTTCACACATCGCTCTAGATACACATTTAAGGCTGAGTCGACCTCGGAGAGCCACAAAACCGATTCAGATAATCATAATTGGTGTCGCCGGGTTCGTTGAGTAGCGCGCTAACCCATACACTCCACACGCGCACACACACACACGTGTGTGTGCGCGTGTGTGTGTTTTGTGAGGATGTCAATATTACGTGGTTTGTTTTTCCTATCTCTGTGTGCGTGGGTCTGTATTTGGGGAGCGGTGGCGCAGTGGTTAGCGCAATGCACCGTGAGCTCTTCTACGCAAACGATGTCTTGCACAACCCACGAGCAGCACCCTGCAGGGAGTGCCTCATCTTAGCCGCATTGCTGACAGACGAGCCCCGTCAAAGGTGCTGCTCGCTAACAGGTCTTGCCCCAACAGTCTGTGCAGGCTGTCGCGCCTTTGGCTGTTTGCGGCAACTCGCCGCCAGGTGGCGGTGCGACATTGCGCACGAGACCCGCCGCGTGCGTCCTGCCGCCCTCCCGGCCGTCATCGCCGGCAGAGTTTACCTTGTCTCTGCTGCTTGCCATACTTCACCACGCCACGTGTCAACCATCGGCCCCAAGGTGTTGCCCTGGGGCAGGTTGGCCCGGCGACAGGGCCCTTCTCGACAAAGATCTGGCACTTCAACGGCGTTAGTTGAAGCGAGCCCGACTCTGCTGATGAGTCACTGGATGTCGACACCGGTCCAGAGTTGTTTTGCTTGTGTTGGAACCAATGCTGCTGCAAATATGCCCGCCCAGGAGGAGGCCGCGTGGCTGATGGGATGTGGACAAAACACACTGCGCTCATAATTGTGCAGAGAGGGATATGGGAGGGAGGCACGAAACACATTCCTGAGTCGAGTTGAGGTCGTCTGTTGAAGAATCGCTGTTAGCGAGCACCTATTATAATGTCCTCGTGTCCGGCCACTCCCACACATCTCCCGGCCCCCACCCCGCAGCCCCCCCCCCATCACCCCTCCCCTCGGCTCACGCGCGTGAGCGAACGACCCCCGACGCTCGCTCCCTGTGGGATGCGTGAACTCTGACCCACGCTAGGGGCTGTTTGGGCAGGGGGGGGGGTCAGTGTTACCACGTGACCATCACATCGTTGCCCCCCCTCCCCTCCGTCAGTCCCACAGAGCACGCCTCACGGGCACTGAGCCATTGGTGCGCATCTGCTGCTGACATCCCCTGCAGAGCCAGAGTGGTGACCATTCCACATTCCCATGGATGGGAAGATTCTACCCATAAGATAACCACCAGTGACGTCCCCACAGAGTGGTACCTATTTTATCGACCACGGGGAGAGGTCTGAGTTAACCCGTCCCGTACCCAAACAAGGCTTGAACTCGTGAACCTTGTGATTGCGAGCGGTACGGCACAAACACAGACACACAACACACACACACACATCTAAACACAACACACACACACATCTAAACACAACACATACACACATCTAAACACAACACATACACACGTCTAAACACAACACACACACACGTCTAAACACAACACACACACACATCTAAACACAACACACACACACATCTAAACACAACACACACACATCTAAACACAACACACACACATCTAAACACAATACACACATCTAAACACAACACACACACATCTAAACACAACACATACACACATCTAAACACAACACACACACACATCTAAACACAACACACACACACGTCTAAACACAACACACACACGTCTAAACACAACACATACACACATCTAAACACAACACATACACACATCTAAACACAACACACACACACATCTAAACACAACACACACACACACATCTAAACACAACACACACACATCTAAACACAACACACATACACATCTAAACACAACACATACACACATCTAAACACAACACATACACACGTCTAAACACAACACACACACACGTCTAAACACAACACACACATCTAAACACAACACACACACACATCTAAACACAACACACACACACATCTAAACACAACACACACACATCTAAACACAACACACACATCTAAACACAACACACACACACACATCTAAACACAACACATACACACATCTAAACACAACACATACACACATCTAAACACAACACACACACACATCTAAACACAACACACACACACGTCTAAACACAACACATACACACATCTAAACACAACACACACACACATCTAAACACAACACATACACACATCTAAACACAACACACACACACGTCTAAACACAACACACACACATCAAAACACAACACACACACACGTCTAAACACAACACACACACACGTATAAACACAACACACACACAAAAGACAAAGGTCCCCCGTGTAGCCTCCAACACTCTTGGAGCAAGTGGTGTGAGCGAGTAACGCGTATGAAGGCCGGCACGGCACAGGAGGGGTAAAAACCCTCCTAAGAAGGGTAACCATAGCAACAGCAATAACAACAACAATAACAACAACAACAATATCTAGCAGAGACAATGGGCGGTGGTATTGACGTGAATGAGTGGGGGGGCTGTTTGACAAACATGACTATCGGGGCCGTCCCCCACCGCCCTTGGGATCCGAGGAGGTGTGGGGGGCACGCGGGTGGGGAGGGGGGTTCTGAATGGCCGAGTGGGGGGGGGTCCTCCTTCCACACCAGGTGGTGCACTGCTCGCGGCCACCGTCGCCGCCTGTGAGTCGCCTCCGCATCGCCACCACGAGACGCGCGGGGCAGGGCAGCTGTCACACAGACAACGACAGCAGCAGTGATAACAGCAACAACAACAGCAGCAACAACAAACAACAACAACAACAGCAGCAGCAGCAGTGACAATAGCAACAACAGCAGCAGCAACAACAGCAGCGGCGAGTGTCACAGGACCGGCGTGGAGCACACAACGAGAGCGGCGATAGTGATCCGAGTGCGTGGTGGTGGCGGTGGTGGTGGTGGTGGCGGTGGTGGTGGTGGTGGCGGTGGTGGTGGCGGTGGTGGTGGCGGTGGCGGTTGTGGTGGCGGTGGTGGTGGTGGCGGCGGTGGCTCCCACAGCCCCCGGCGCCAGCGCAGAGATTAGCCTGGGGCGGGACGGGGGGCTGGGGCTGGGTGGGCATGGCCAGGGGGAGCAGCGGGATCAGGGGGAGTAGGAGCAGGAGGAGCAGGAGGAGGAGCAGGGGGAGGAGGGGGAGCAAGTGGAGGAGCAGGGGGCATTGTTGGCACCGCCGCGAGGACGGCGCCCGGCGCCTTCCTCTGCCGCTCGTGTTGTTTATTTTCTGTCTAACAATAATAACCCTTCCGTAATCGCCTCCACATGCGTGCCACGTCCGTTGTGAAGGTTTCATACCCATACTTCACCACGCTGGTCACGGGTTTGTGAGGCTGTGGGAAGGGGGGGGTGGGCAACATTGGTTTACAAATCACTCGCCACTCGGGTTGCCCGGTTTTCAGCGCTGATCACTGCGTCACCGCTCCGATAAATGAGCACGGAGCCATGGCGGAGACTTCTTCTGTGTGAGGAGGCCGCCTCCGCGTCCCACCACTCCCAAGGCACGCGGCAGGGCGCACGAGCCCACTTCCCATGTCGTGCTCTCCGCATGGCGACATCTCAGCTTTGTTTTTTAGACATCCCATCAGCCACACCACCCTTCATTCTGGGAGATATTTTGTTCAACAGAGTCGGTTTATATAATAGGCGACGTTTCGGCCAGTGATCCTTCGTCATAGGAAATATGTGCAGTGCCATTGACGAATTACGGTTGTGCTTGTGCACCACTGCTGCCAACGCAGCAGGAGCATCGCCACATCATGTGCCAGATGTGATAGGCAAGGACGCCTGTGTTAGAGATGGGGCCTGGCCACAACAATCACCGCCGTTCACCACTCAGTGGCGGTGGCCAAGTGAAGTATCGCAGGATCGTTGACAGCGCGTCACGGAACAACCCAGGCGCCATGGGTTGACTGACTGAGATGACTGAC